TCCGGGCGCCGTAGGGCAGAGAGGGCAGCGCTTGCCCTCAGCCCCGCCGGGTTTTGAAGTAGCCCCCTGGCAGGGAGCGTTCGCCTTGTCCGGTCCCAGGGAGCGGCCCGGGTCAGGTCCTTCCCCTGTACCCGCACGTCGCTTGCTTTCCAGCCCGACAGCTGCACTGCAAGAGGCTTAACTTTATGAACTGTCAAAATAGGAATTGTCATTGTCACGGTGCACCTGCAGGGAAAATCGAAGACCAGGAGTGTTAATTCTCCCAGTCGGGCTTGCTTGCTCTCTTTTCTCTGTGTGCTGGAGCACATGGGGTGCATTGGCACACCCTTACCTGGGACCTCTGCAACATGCTTTGCAAAACCTGTGCAAAAACCCTATCTGTGTTGTTTCAAATTTCTGAGAGAAAATCCACATAAAGAGTAGATACAATGGCATATTATAGAGAACTTCTAGAACATATTCTATAAGCATATATTTTACATTTTTTTAAAGGTTATGCAACTATTTACTACCTTTACAAAGCACCCCTTAGGGTGTGGTCATGAGTGGTTGAAAAGTGTTTTAACATCCATCCAAATAAGGTTATTTGTAAAGATGTATTAATGAGTGCATGTTGATTCTGTTTTCTTCGTTGTTCCGTGTACGGAAGTATTCGTATTCCTGTTCCATTGCATTGCAATACTGTCATTGCTACAACATTTGTGATGATGTCCTTTTATAGTTCCCATCCAAGCAAAAGGTACCTTTTGGGTAAATAGCTACAGTCATTTTTATATTTTGCTTTAGAAGTGTTACCCTAAATAATTATTTCAAGATAACTTCTTCAAATCGTGAACTTCATTCTATTTTAGTATTTTGGAAGAGTTTAAATCCACAAATACGTCTGAGCACTTTCGTTAAATGCAGTCCTAGTTCTAATTTCTGCCTTGGGATGTTGATACACTGCATCCTTTGCAGTCAGTAGCTGGAAGAAAAAGCACATTCAAGATCAGAGTGGGCAGTTAAATGCTGGCACTGTTTCTTTATCTGTAGTCATTTGCCAGACCCTGGCCTTTGGACAGCAGGAGATATAAACTGATAAACTATTCATACCTGGGGAACTGAGGTCCTGCCACTCTGCTCTTGCCTGCCTGTACTCCACGAGTGGCTCCTTTTTCCATCTCTGCTCTGGTTTGCACCCAGCAGTCCTCAGCCCCTGACTGCTCCATAATGCTGGAAACATTATGGACAAGTGGAAGATCATCGGCCCCTCTCTGCACATGGAGTGGAACAGAGATGTGAACAGAGAATTGAAAAGTCCTTCCTTTGTGGAACTCTGCCTCAGAGGCAGTCATCATGAGCCACTGAGATATCTCTTTGTGGAAAATGAGCTCCTGTGTTGATTTCAAGAACCTCTTTGACTTTTGGTTAAGGTGTGGTGTTCAGAGTACCTATTACCTGACCCAGTTTGTGGCAGTCATGATACAAACTCCGATGTGCTGGCAGAGATTTTGTCTATATCTCTCCCAAAAGGCTCATCTGCCGGCACAATGCTATCCTTGTGTTTGACATGTTGCAAAAGTTGAATTCTTTTCTGGCTTAGGGTCACATTTCTCAGTATCTGGCAGGACCAAGTAGGTCTGGGATGGATCCTGGCAGAGCTCACTGTATTAATCCTGAAGACAGTCAGGAAAAAGCAAATATGGAATCAAATTCTTCCTAGCATGCAGAGACCTCAGTTAAAGAGCAGTGGAGAGCCATATACAGTGTGTAGGGTGTTTGTGGAAAGAAGGACAGAATATGGTAAGTAAACTCAAATTCTAGGGGAACAGCTGCATATTTTCCCAAGACAGATTGTTTTCTCAGCAGACTGTGTAGTATCTGGACATCCAAACAAAATGGGACAGTTTGACTTTATAGAAATAAGTCTCTCCTCGCCTATCACATGTATCTCCGCTAGGTTAAGCTAAACCAATGGTGCACAGTCTACAAAGGAGGCTGATTTTCACGGTCTTAATTCTCAAGTATTCATTTGTCTGTTTTATAATTAGAATTTCATTATTCTAAAGCAAATATTTAAAACTAAAGTTATTAAATCACTAATACATTGAAAGGTCCAAAAAGAAATAATTTAAAAGAGTATTTCCATACATATGGGAAGATTTCCATCAAGAATAGTCATGCTGAAATGATAAATTCTGTTAAAACTAACAGGAGTTTTCCATTTTGTGTCAGAACATGTCAGAATATTTTGTGATTGTGGATGAAACAAGTCAACAGTAGCACATACATCTTCCCATACTTTAATGTTCCTCCAATAGTAGGCAGACCTGGTAGGTAAACTTGCCCTGTAGGTAAGCTTCCTTAGTACTTTCACGTTATCAGACCCTGTTTTCAGTTCCTTACTATTTTGTGAAACTTGACTCGTTGGACTGAAAATTGCTGGGTGTTAGACGCAGGCAAAGCTTTTCTGGAGCCTTACAGCAAAATTGGTATTTCTCCATCTGAGAGTGAAGTTTGTAAGAATGCTTATATAATATAATATTTTTTTTTTAATATATCCTGAATAAGGAAATCATGACTTCAGTGGAAAATTTAGCCAACTCCCCTCTTAAATGCCTGTGATTTGAACAGATCCGGTCTGCAGCGGTAACTTTTTCACAGAGAACACAACATTCATTTCTTGTGTATGTGTCTATAAATATGATAGTTTTATTTGTTTCTGTTGTCGCTAGAGTTGGAAGCACACCAGTTACACTCAGATGTGTAATAAAATACTTTAATTTGTATTATTGATGATGGCAGTTATTTTCAGTTGTTTTGCAGAATAGATAAGGAAAAGAAGAGAAAGAAAAAAATATTAATGCAACATGAGATTTCCAAGCAATAGCTATGGAAATATTAGCATACTTCTAAAAAGGAAGAAAGAATACACGAAGAGCTGGGTGACATTTTAAAATGATGTGCATAATAAGAAGAAATGTATAATTTGATATTTAGTAGGATTTATAACCCTATTACAAGTGAGTACAGTCAGCTGTTTTAAAGATCTATCAAATGATGATCTAATTAAACTGTGGAGGCAAAGAAAATAAAGTCTTGTCTCATGTCTAGCTTGATTTATTAATGGAAGAGGTAACAGATATTAATTGTTTCAGGAGTGATTCAGTTACAGGAAAGAAAACCAATGAGGGTGCTCTGTGAAAGGGAGAATTCCAATAAAAAATAGAAGACGGGAAGAAACTTTCACCATGGTTCGTAAACTGCTTGTGCCGTGCTTGCTTGGAAAACATTTCAATAACACACATGACTGACCTGTGATTCTTCAAGGACTTTTCTTCAAATTCCAATACCGGATAAATTCTCAGTAAGGTCAACTTGTAGGGACAGGAATAGCCTACAGGCTACTACAAGCAACTCAGCAGCACAGTGGTGGCACAGTCAATCACATTGACTTCCATCTGCCCTTAGAGGACAGAATATAAAGCTATTGTTACCTGCCTGGGTAGCCTAGAGCCATACCAGATTAAATCTTCAGCCTTTGAAAGACTATAGGATTCTCATACTGTGCTTGAAAGAGATGAAGGCTGTTCTTTCACTGGGGCATCTTCTCCATTTAAAGGAGGGGAATTTCCTGATTTTGAAACTATTTTACAATTGTGGTTACCTGGACAATGACACGAAAAATGTGGAACATAGTGCATTATTGCATGATTTGAACCAAAATATGTTTGTAATCAGTGACACAATTACAATATGCAAAATATGGGACAAATACGGAAAAACCTGGGAGTGAAAAATGAACATCACAGTATTAATACTCAAAATGTAAGATTATAGAGTTTTGCATACAACTGCATTTTTAAAATTCATTAAATAGTAGAGGCAAGAATTAAGATTAACTGTGTCATTCAATACGACCTGAAATTCCACACCTGAAATTCCATTCACAGTCACAAATAGATAGGTATATTTTAAATGTCATTTATTTATAAACATTCTCTTACTTTATTTTCCCCTTCTTTCACTTCCCAAGCACATTCCTGAGCAAGAATGGCCATTCAGTACGTTGCATGCATATGTGCCATTAACCAGAACTTTTATTGTCACTATCTTTGACAGGAGTCAACTCAGCTGCCAGATCAGACTCAGAAATTCTGGCATTCTGCTTTATTTCTGAATGCACCTGCATTTAAAAAAAATGTTGTAAAGACTTCTTCAGATTTTAATCCTTCATTTTACCTATCAGCAATTTTGAGATTTTTTATTTTTTTGAGGCCACAAGGTCACTTAGATGTCCAAAAAATCTTTGTCAGTTGTATTTACTGTATTAAAATCTAGCATGTCAGTCATGCAAATTGACTTAAAATGTGTAAGTAAGTATCTACCCACTTCCATACACACTTTTGCTATGATCTGCATGTATACATGCAAACCACATGCAACTGCCTCGCATCCATTTGAGGGAATTCTTCATTTCGTGCATAGGAACCCTGTAAAGTGGTAGCCTATTTACAAAAGACCTTTGGATAATCCTTACTCCTTTTGAGGTAAGATTTTGATCCTCTCATATATTTGACATCCCATTTTTATTCGAGTTAGGTTTCATAAACATTAGTGGAACTAGAAAGTCAAAATCCAGAGAGAAAGTATAAACATATTGCTTTCCACTGTGTGTACATCTAGAGTAAATGCCTAATGTGGTTATTAATTTGCATTTATTGACCACTTAAAGAAGGGAAAGTTACCACATGATGAATTCTATTAAATTTTAGAGTGCTAATGTACCTGTCTGTTGTTGTTACTAAGACTTCAGTATGTTTTTCAGTAAAAGTAGCTTCACATCATATTGTGATATATCCTTATTTTCCCGTTAAAAATAATCAACATCTTTTCTAACATACTTGTTAGGCGTTCCATCTTGATACTTGAAATACTCTTGCTCCACAGTTCTTGAATGCTCTCCTGGTGGACATCAGATCCTGCAGAGCCCTTACCGAAGCGTTGATTTTGATTCATCCCACCTCCAGCAATCAGCTATTCAGGATTTAATATGTGACCATTCCCTAACACCAGGATGGTATCGCTTTATGATTTTTGACAAGCCTGCTGAGATGCCGACTAAGTGTGTGGAGGTATTGTTACAACTCATTTGATTATGAGAAATTCATATTTTTTTCTTCAGAATTTTTCAGTAGGATAGGTATAAAAAAAGAATATGGTTATGTAGACTGATGTGGAGGAATACAGAGTACCTATTCCTTCTAAATACTTGAGTATATTAGAACATGTTAACTGGACAATTAAGTCTTAAGCATTGAAAATTTTACACTGAATGGGCACTAGCAGAGGATGATAAATTACATCCCTTTTAGAGCACTCGAAACCTGTCATTTGTAGTCACTGCTAAGGAAGATTTTTCTCAGTGGCCGCGTAGCAGGGATATCGTGTCATAAAGCTGCAACTATGTGATGGTCAGTCTGTTAGGAAGGCCATGTGAAAGCAGTATAAAGACTTGCAGCCACATGAATCCAGTAATTGTGGAGCTTTTGAAGTGATCATGTTAGAGAGAAGAGATTACTCCTAAAATGACTTGGAACTAGCAGAGCTAACGGAAGATTAGTTGCCTTGTCATCTTTAAGTCCCCTAAGACTCAAGAATTACTTGGAATATTTAATACTTTACCCTTGTAATGCTTTATTTGGAGCATACCAACATCTCTGTAATTGTTACGTCCTAAGGAGATATATCTTTGTAGCTTCTTATTTTAAAACATTTCCTTGTTTAAATAAAATAAAAATGTAATTAGAATGTGTTGCCCATGATTTTTCTAATTAATTGAAATTGCCTGTTCACAGTCTTTTAAAATAAGAAAAGAAAAGCCTAATAATGAAACACTTTTGAAGGAATACAAACCAGTTAAAACAGACTAATAAAATTAAATTGAGTTTATAGCAGCCCCTCTTATTTTTATTTCTTTCTTTATTAATTTTTTATTAAATCTTTACAGCAGTATGAAGCCACTGAAGTACCTTTAATGTGCAGCTGACTCAAGGACTCAGAGGGCTGTGTTGCAGAGGCTACTGTTATCCAGACTTTTATACTGCAAAAAACTAGCAAAATGTATGATTCCTGAAGGACTTTCTTTCAGTTAGGTTTAATACAAACAAATTAATTAACTAGTTGTATTTTCTGAAAATGCATAGTTCTATGCAAAAAGCCAGCATGATAAACCAGGAGAAAAAAACCAATGTGTTTTTCAGAACAGAGGTTTGACTAGCAAAATACCCACTCAGATCATCTAGGAAAATTTTAGAAATGTGACCAAAGTTCTCAGTGCTTAGTAAATATTTGGTAAAAACAGGCTACCATCCTAACACAGAGGAGCCCAGATAATTATAGTTGGAAAACTTGTAAGTTCAAAACTTATTCAGCAAATGAAATGTATGCATTGACATCTGCTTCTTTGCATCTGTTGACAAAACCAAAACATTTATTTTGAAATCTAAAAGTCAAAACATTAAAACCAAACTAAAATGGATGTCTTGTTTAGAAGTTTCATCCTTTCTTTCCCTTTAGGAGAACTTTTATTATAGCTGTATTTAATCCTTGTCAAAGGTTCAGACTCTGTTAAACAATCCATCCCGTTTCTATTTCCCATTAATTCTGTCCCTGATGGATTGATGGTGGGCTCAGATTGATTCCAAGAAATTAAACATCAAATTTAGCAGTGATTCAGTATCCTTTATTAGCAGCGCTGGATGCACGGGGGATCCTTCCACCTAGCGTGCATACCGTGCTTGTGTTAGTTACAGGCTTATATTTTTAGTTTTTGTACATATTCATAAGACTTGCAAGAGATGATTAACATATTAACAATTTTCCCGGAACTCATTATCATAGGCAACTCCCATTTCCATATGTCCATTTTAGTCCTTTTGGGGGTCTTCAGAGACATCTGGTGGTCTTTTACTTCTTCCACTCTTCTTCATCACCATGTCCTTTTGCTGAACTTTTAGCTCTCATCTTCCTTTTTCTTGATTGACAGCAGTCTCAGGTCCTGTTCTCCTAACAAGGTCTTTGGTAAGGATTTAAGAGTTCCTGCCTTGAAGTGCAGTCCCTGATAATGAGTGCAACGTCCTTGATTTAAGGGTCTTGTTATCACTTTTATGCCAGATGTGGTCATACACTGGTACAAAGTTACACACTACTACATACCGTTGTAACAGGCTTGTGTTTCTAAGATTAACTCTCTAGTTCCCTTAGTATCAAGATATTCTAGATTAAGAAAGAAGAGTGTACTTTTGAAATGAATAATTGCTTAGTGAGTCTGCAGTAGTCTTTAGACCTGTTGGTCTGATGATCTGAGACCTTGTTTCACTGTCAGGTCAAAGAAAGGAATACCTGAGGTGATGCGTGAAGGGGAAGAGGTTCTCAAAATCTCTCAATTTCAGGTTTATAGTTTTCATGTAAATACTTTCCAAATGCTGGCTTTAACACACTGTGTCCTTCTAGGTGTTTCTCTTCAGTTTGCTTTCTACAGCACACAAAAGACAGGAGGTGATCTTTAACCCATTCTGGTCACCCATGAACCAGATTCCTTCTTTATCTCCTTTTCTCTGGATTCATTTTTCTGTATTCCACTGGTAAACTCTGGTGGCTGCTAAACTGGCACACTTCTCACTCCATGAGGAAAAATACTGAACAAGGCTTTTGTTTGCGAGAGAATCTGCTAAACTGGCACACTTCACACTCCATGAGGAAAACTACTGAACAAGGCTTTTGTTTGCGAGAGAAGGAACAACAGCCCTCTGAAATCACCTGTTGAATCAGCATCTGCACCCCAGACCTTGAGAAGCCAACTCCTTTGTGAGCACCAAAGGATTTAGGGTTGCTACAAAGTCACTGTGGTTGTTACAAGGGCTGCTAGAAGCATGTCTGTTTCAAAAGGTGGGGAATTGAAACACAGACAGGGCTTATCCGGTGTTTTGCATTTTTGGCTAGGGCTGCAAGTCCTTGCATCAGCTGGCCACATCTCTTAGAAGAAATCCAGGAGGTTAGCTAAGCCTTAAGTCCATAGCAAAGGGCAGATAGAACATGTCAGCTTTAGCACCTTTAGTTGATATTCAGTGTATGTATGTTCTACCTTCTATTTGCTGTGCTCTGATAGCATTCACACAGTCAACTACTGTAGGTTAACGGGTGTAGAGTAACTTGCTAAGCCATAACACAACTTTTTTGGACAAAACACTCAGATGCGCCTCCTGGTTAAGTTCCTCAGGCACTAAATTATAGCCTGTCTTTAGAAACACAAATTCTTTAGACTCAAAGAAGGACTTAAGTCTTTTGTGTGTATTTGTATTCAACCTTGAGGAGAAAAGTAAGCAAGACCTCAGTTATACTGTCTGAACTTTGCTAAAATTTCATGCAGGAAATTAATTGAATACATATGCACCTCATTAAAGCACAGCAACAGTTTTTCATAGTGTTAACCTTTTTCTGATGCTTTTCTCTGGTGCTTAAGATGAATCACTGTGGTACTCAAGCCCCTGTCTGGTTGTCTCTGAGGGAGTCAGAATCCATGCCTCGACCCAGTGAAATCAAACAGCTAACAGCTTGTGCTACATGGCAGTTTTTCTTCAGCACTTCAAAAGACTGCTGTCTTTTCCGAATCCCTGTCAGTGTGAGGAACTGCGGAGATTTCTTTGTTTACTTACTTCAGCCCACCCAAGGATGCATGGGGTATTGTGCAGAAGGTGAGAAAATGCATGCTCAAAGTCAACTAAGTGTGTGTGTTTATGAGTAAGTGTGTTTCTCTGATATTTGGCTGAGCAGAAATGTCTGGAAATAGTTATACTTGCTGAAATTTCTTGCAATCCTTACTTTTAGTATTGATACAATAGAAAAGTGATTTGGTATGCTAACGTGGGTTCACACCACCCCTTTCAAACTTACATTTAGTACTCAAGTATTGTTTAAAGCCCAGAAACTTAAGAATTGAAATTTTCCATATAATGAGGTGGAGATATAAGACACATCTAGAAGTCAAAATTCAGAGTACCTACAATTGCACTCATACTCTGCAAATACCCATTACTGAATGTGCATAGAATTATGTGTCAAAGTAAATTTTAAGAACTTGACCAAACTGTAGTTATATCAATTACTGTTAAGCATCATTAGGAATATTGTTCTTACTGTAACTCTTTTATCATCTTTCTGGAGAGTATACACATTGTTGCTAGAAGAAAATTCAACACAGAGATGCTCTACTGATACACACTTTATTAGTACTATGAAAAAGAACTGGAGTCCTTTTGCAGTGTCTCTCTTTGTGCTGCAAAAGTGTGTTGGTGTTCACAGCTCAAAACTTCGGTATTTCTTTATTCATGCCAGATGTGTTAGATAACCTATGGAAGGCTTGGTTAAATCCTTACAGTTACAAATGCTGTGAAACAGTGACAAATTAGTGTAGTAGGAAATACTTATTAGCTTGTATAACTCACCATTGTGAAAATACTAGCAATATTTTTATGCATCATGTACTGTATGCTCTAAGTCAAATTCTCTGTTACTGACTGCTTTCAAAAGCTTAATAGCAAAACTATCAGTGAGTTTTCTGGTGCTTTATTGGCCCATCATTATACTTTTAGGTCCAATTGTTAACACATTCTCCAAGGGTTTATTGACAGAAAAAAATGCCAGAAATGGAATATTTCGGCATGCAAGTGACTGAAGCAATGAAGAACTCCCACACTATAGGACTTTGCATTTACTTTGGATGATAGCTCATGAAGAGGAAAGAGAATATAAAAACCACAGGCAGAGAGTGAGCAAATTTTTACTGCCTCAAAACAAAGCATGCAAGAAACATAACTCTGGTTTGGCTCTGGTGAATACTGTAAATATGAAACACATTCTGAGTTTAAAAGCCCTCTTTTAAGATGATGTTTTCATGCAATGTGCATTGTACTCATGCTGCTTTTTGTATCTAGCTTGCTGAATGCACAGTCTTTTCTCTTTAACACTTGATAACTTCGTGCAAATTTTCAAACAGTCTATGCTCTACATGCTAAGGAATTCAAACGTTGTGTCACTGAAGTGTGGAACATCAAAATCTGCTCTTCATTCTTTTTGGTGAATGGGGTTTTTGGTGTTGCTGCTGTCCTTTTGACTTACTTTGAGTGGAGTGACTAACTTTCTAATCCTACAAATGCACTGATATTTTCATATTTAATCAAAGTTCCACTTTTTTTGTAATATCATTCAAAGTACAAAACAATAGCAGTGCACAAGCACTTTTTCTTAGGCCCCTGTAGGAAAGGTGATTTTTTTCAAAGCAGGTCTGCACTGAATTTGGCTGTCCAGGGTTACAGCTAAAGAATAAGCATTCAGATGTGGATTTGGGGAGGCAAAATATATATTCAAGAGAATAGTTGAATTCCTTTTTATTCACATAACAACATCTATAAGTATTGGCTAGGTACATCTTCAGTAGAAGATGCAGAGGTGGTAGACTGTGCTGTACTCTTCCTTCTAGGTATAGCGAACCTACTTGTGATTTCCAACACAAGGCTTTGTATTGGCTGCTACTATAATTGTATAGGGATTGGATTATGAGATTTCTTCTGTTCTAATTTACACTTCAATTAGTGTCTTGTGATATTTGGTGTATTTTTAACATGGGGCAATAATTTAAGAGCGTTGGTGTACATACTCTGTATGTGTGTGAATATACAAATTAAGAACAATTTATAGTTGTTTCAGATGCAAAGCCACAGACCTGTGATCCTGAGGGAACAGAAATTCAAGGCATCTGTAGCAGTAAGTATTTTGTTTTGATTTTCAAGATTTTCTGTGTGTCTATGACCCAGTAATGTCAACATTTAGTAATATTCTGTCTTGAATAAAAACATGTTCATGTTATCAACAGTATTGCTCAATCTGTTGCAAAACGAGCAGTTTGGAGGTAACTTCAGACCTTGGATTATAAAAGTACTTTCTCAGCATAATGTTCAGAATAAGTACCGAGGTGTTAAAAAGTAATTTTAATAATGCTGATTTACAGATTACTTTGATTCTTTGTGAGTCAAATAAGAATATAAGATGAATCTGCAAAGCATACTGTTGCTTATTCGGTTCCTTTTTACATAGCCGTTTCTTTTTTTTCCTTTTTTCTTTTTTATTTTTCCCTTTCTTCAGAAGTAGAGAAAATATTCTTCTGTCAGGTGAATTCCTTTGCATGTTGCGCTCTCCTGTCTCATAAAATAATTACTTGTATTTTATTCCCTTGGTTTTGTTTTTCTTCCCCCCTCTTCAGCACCTTCCTATTGCCTATAATATAATCAAAGGCTGATATAAAGTTTTTCTTCCTTTTAATAATTAAGAAAAGGAACATACACGTTTTCTCTGATTCTCTAAGCAATTATGTAATATTTCCCCATATGAAAAAAGGTAAATGGTATTAGTATATTAATTGAAAAATATATGTCAATGTCATTTCATTCAGTATTGGTTTTGCACAAAATAAAAAGCACAAACCACACTTCCATTTGACTAGGTAACCTGGCTGCCTCATCATCTCCGTCTGTGTCACCACCACTGCCAGCCATTCCTGAAGTTGTAGCAGAGTTGATCAAAGGCAGCATTTACCTAAGGTGTACCTTTGGCATTCCTTTTGCAAACAGCTCTCTTGGATTCATTGTAACTTGGTCAAGACTTTCTCCTGAAGGTATCAGAGAAGAACTGAAACATGAAAGAGCAGCTCATACCTTCTCACTTCTAGAACTGGATGGGATAAACGTCAGACTTGGAGACAGAGTATGTTAAAACATAACTATAATCTCATTGTATCTTTGTAAATATGGCTCGGTAGACACCGACAGTTAGAGACACAGTCCCAGCACATTGCTGTATGGTTTTTCTTGACAGAAGCATACTGCCTGTAGTTGTTGTTTACACGAACAGTGCCCAGTGCCCAGTGCCCATATGAATGTGGAAGTACCACAGATTATACCAGCAATTATCACTGCCATTAAGCTTTTGAGATTGTCTGTCTCGGTACAGTGTAGTGTGCCTTCAGGAGATAAACGTTTATTCAAGTTGCATCTTCTCCCTCTAGTGTGATTTTGTTTGATACTGTAAATTAGGAGGATTTTTGGATGCAGCTGGAGGCTGTAAGAGGCAGAGGTTGTGAGAAGCTGTGTTGTTGATACATTAGATAGATTTCTTTTCTTTGAATCAATAATGAGTTGCTGCTTGATGGTTTTGTTTCTAGGATCAGATTTAAATGGTTTCATCTCTGCCATCAAAAGCAGTGGGAGTACCTACATTACCTTCCATGGTAGCAGAATGAAGACCTAGGCTCTCATGGTAACTTTGAGAAGCTTAAGCACTGGAAAATCAATAAGCTTTCTACCTGTATATACCAAAATACAGGTTAATTTCTTCTGGCCAAAATAAAAACAAAAAAAGCACGTGGTTGGTGTGCATGTGTATACAAGTCAAAGCCAGACTGCTTGGATGGCTTATGGACAGCGATAGCAATTGCTAATTCTCAAAAATCCTTTGGGTACTTTGTGAATAGTTGCCTGACAATGTTAGCTCAGTGACAGTCAAAAGGAAAGGCACAGCCATAAACTACCTGCTGCTACTGTCAATCCTTGGCTTTCTCAGGATCTGAAATATTGCGTGTGTGGTCAACACATCTCAAAAGGGATACAGCAAAGTAAATGAAGAAAAAATACAAAACCAAAGCAAATCCACAGTGTCTAGTAGCGTGGAACTGGTTCAGTGGATGTATGTTTTTCTTAAGCAGCACCACTGGCAATTGGTAACTTTGGTACAAACAGAAGACTAGGCCTCATGAATCCGTCAAACCGACCCATGATGGCTGGGTTTTGTCTTCATATGACCACTTCATACCAAAAATGTGTTCTGTTATGCTGGTTTTGCCCTACAGGTCTACTGTAGCAGTTCTGCTTTTTTCATGGAGAAGCCAGATATACAAAGTTCTTCTGTTGAGAGCAAGGAATTTTTTGCTGGCATTAAGGTAATTTTGAAAGAAAATAATGTTTTATTTCATCATAGTAGGAATATTTCTGAGTGTTGCTACAGCTGTCAGTTCTCTGATTAGAAGGCACTCAAAGTGTATTAATTTTGAATTGATAGAGCATGATGTGGGCTGTAGTGAACTTAAGTTTGTCAGAAAGCAGAAGAGTCAAAGTTGTTTCTGTGCTCCCCGTGTACTCAAGGTGCAGGAAGGCTGAATTGGCAACTCACACAGGTAGTGAAAGCCTTCATTTCCAGCAGCTAGGGATCTACTCAGACACTGTGTTTGTAAACTAGGAGGGCTACAGCTCAGATGTGAGCCCTGGCACACTGTTCTTTATTACGTTTAACTGCTGCTGCCCTTTCTGGCATGCTTTTGGCCTGTGCCAAGAGGCTGCCCCAGCACGTGGCTCATGGGATAGCCTAGGCCAAGGCCTCTTCCCAGCTGGCCATGGGGGTGAGGGAAGGGTGAGGCCAACCTGGCCTGGGCTTAAAGAGGGAAACTGGGACATGAACCATGCCATGCCCCTTGGTCAGAGGCCAAGCTCCAAACTCATTTTAATTCCTTCTGTGGGTATAGCTATAGGGACCCATTTGCTGGCCAGGAATGGGATCCCGATCCCAGAAAGACGTACTGTGTGTCATTGCATGTTGGGAATAGTCCTGTTAACTTTATGAAGGGCAAATCCTTAAGCCTGAGCTTGTATTTCTGCAGGATCAGAGCCCAGATTTATTTTATGTAAGTGCAAGTCTGTAGTGCACACTGCAAAGTGTGAATGCATTATTGTTGTTTTCCTGTGAGGCTGTGTTCAGGATTTCACCCAGTGTACAACGTTCAGTTGTAGGCCTCTGTTACTGACCTCTAGTTGCTTTTTTGGTTATGCATCTACAGTAAGCTGTAAGTTTATGGAGAGGAATCCCAGGAGAAATATGGTGCTTCCAAATTCTTTTGGGACATTGTTGCCTGTAGATAGCTTCCTGCTCCCTTGCCCCAGACAGTACACCAAGCTGTTTGTATTTTAGCTTCCAGAAGTTACCCAGAGAATACGTTTTTGTGGTGTTAATGTGGTTTGCTAATTCCTTACCTTTCTAGCTAGCCTTTACTCTTGCCTTTTCCTTATCCTTACCGCTTATTCCTACCTCTTCAAGACTCTTGCTGCTGTGTCCTCATCTTCTCCCCAGCATGCCACTGCTCTTCAGGCCATCTAAATAAGCCTGATCAAGTGGAGCAGGCCATGCACTGTGCCATTCCATCTCTTTAGTTTTTATTACTGGACTCCTAGCTGGTTAGTAGGCACTGCTGTCGTTTACTCACAAAGCTTGCATTTTAAGTACAATTTCTTCTGTGCTAGATACATCCAGAAACATATGATATATCAGAAGATGGGAAGGAATACAGACTGGCAATAGAAAGTAGCATTCCTATTCCTTGTCCTGAGTTTAGCAAGCTTGAAAGTGACTGCAAAATCTCACTAACATTAAATAGTGTTGATGAAGGTAAGTATTATCCTGATTTTTTTGTTACATTTTGTATGTTTAATGTGTTTTTCAAATT